ACGGATAAGAAGACGCATGTGTACAGACTTTTCCCTTTTTTAGACATTTTGTGACCCTCAGGTTCCGTTATAAGTGTTTGCAAAAAAGAAAAATACAGATATTGGCCTAAAAATACGCTAACATATTTTTGACACTTGAAATATGTACTAATAATCTCTACTGCTTTATTTGATAACCTTTCAGAATCAAAACTCTATAGATTATAAGTAATAAAGTCTATGGTAAAAAATAAATTTTGCTAGTAATTGTACATTGCTAAGATGTGTTATTCTGTTATGGCTCCAATCCCTTGCTGACACTTATCTCTTTTATCTTATGAAGTGTGCATCAACACTTGGTAAGAAGAAAAAAAAAGTACCAAGCAATCATTTAGGTATCACTTGAAACAAGCTGTATGTGGATAAGAGAAACCGTAATCATATCTAACGAATTACAAACATTTAGACTAAACTCATTGAAGAAGACATTGCAAAGTGGTCGCGCTATGTTATGAATTAGTAGAAGTTAGAATTTATGCACTGGTCATTGGATAGGGCCCTAGTGGACAAATGGTCTACGAGGTTGTTGGCCTGGTAACTAGAAGGTCGTGGGTGTTGTGAACCCCTGTGATGGGTGTGTATTGCTGAAGAGTCCCAGACTAGAAGGAAACAGCTGGCTATCCAGTACTCCTTGGTAGTTTTCAAATAGTTCTCTAACTGATGTCAGCTCATGATGAAATCCTCCAACCAAACTAGACTATAGCTGATGGGAATTTCCTGGAATAATTTGAGCTCTAAGTTTGACTGAATTAGCTTTTCATATGGTATTCCATAGAGACCTGATTTATTCCAAGTTTGATCCTGTATTCATATCAGTTTAAGAGCCATAGAAAGGTACGGAGTCCTAGATAGTACTTTTCGCCCTAGTCTGGGATTCTTCATCAGTAGGCGCCAACTAGGGTTCAAAACCAGGACCTTCCAGTTACAAGGCGAACTTGTACACCATTCAGCCACTGGGATCCGGTTCAGTGGCCAGCCTATGAATTTGAACTTCCATTAATTCTTCATTTTAGCACAACCATCAGTAAGTATTTGTCCTCACTCCAGATTTGGTAGACCCCAGTGTTCAAGACTTCTAATTAGAACCCCAAGCAACTTCGTCCTGTAACCAGCCACTGGTGAGTATCAGGTTAATTTTGAAGAATTGGTTTTTGTAAGGATTCTATTTGTTTCAAGTCCGTTCACAGACTGATATCAGTTAGACAGACACCAAAAAAAACAACACAGTACTGGATGACTGTTTCAACCTATTTTGAGACTCATCATCAGTACTATCTTGAAGGTGAACTTTTCAAACTCCACTGGGTGAGTGCCTCTGAAGAGTCCCAGGCTAGGACAAGAAGTACTGTCGATTGCTCCCTGGTTTTTAGTGGTTCTCAGACCAAATATTAATTTGAGACCAAATTTCAACAGGTTTTTATTCAAATTTTTAGGGATTCTGTCGAGGAGACTGTGTCTTACACGACGAAATATTTATATCAATCCCTGGCATGTCTTTCTGAACATAGTGGGATTATTTTAAGTAATTTTTTAAGTAAGTTATTCAACTAACTGGTTTATGTTTATAGCAGTTGATTACCACTGAGGACTTATCTGTCTAAATAAGTAGGTGTGTGGTTTACTTTCATTGGTATGTCGAGCAAAGTTACCGTATGAAATATTCAATGCCAAACAGCATGAGACATCTATTTCTTTTGATTAGAAACCAGTTAATGTCTAGTGTAATGTCTCTAGTCCTATCTTTGCGATCAGTCAAGTTTGCAATGTGGCCACCATTCTGGATGGCTGGGATTTATGGTGCACTTTGGATTGTTAATATAAGATGGTTTAAAGAAAACGACAGGAGGACTTGGACCTAGGTTTCGTGCTAGTTGACACTCACCAGTCAGCCAAGAGTACCTTCAACCTTGAAGGAACTCACCTCCCTTCTGAGGTATGAACCTGCGTCACTCAGTGATGCAGTCATCCAGAATAGTGGCCTTATAGCAAATTTACCTGTCTATACTAAACAAAGGATTACACACACTACGGAGGTACTAACTATTGCCCTATCATAGTATCCATTACAGTCTTACTGTAGGTCACTTGAGAGCCCGAATAGCCCAGTGTTAACGTCTCCGACTGCCGACTACCTCCAACCATCTAATGTCAACATCTGTTTCTTCCATAAAACCTAAAACTAACGAGAAAAAACCGCCTTTTTGTGTTGAAGAAGAAGCTATACATGAACGTGAAATTCAAATGTAACCTTCTGATAGACATTTGAAAGAGAAGATCATTAGATGTTCTGAAAATAATATGCTTTGCTTCTGCATTATGACTGGTATTCTTCTGCCGGCTAATGTTCTTCGGTAACACTGAAGATAAATCATCGCATTTGACCACTTTTATGGGAATCTACTAATTCACATGCTCCTGTGAAGCGAGGTACAAACGTTGTATAATTGACGTTTTATCTGAAAAAGTCTAGGAACATTATCCCTCTTGGCTACAGGAAGATGACCATAGATCAATTAGAAGTGCTATCATTGAACATAAATATAAAACTGACCACTTAGGATATAAAAAAGATTCACTCGGAGTTATTTACAAAGTTAAAAGCTCATTTGGTTGTCGATCTCATCAAGCAGATCACAGTATGTGATCTGAGGGGTTCGGTTTCCAAATGAAACTATGGAGAAATTTCTCCCCTTTAACCGTGAACATCGCAGAGTGAGAATTAATCTACAGATTCAGAATTTGATTTTAAAGAAGATTTACTTTCTATTCATTCGAATAATGATAATGCCTTTCTGAGCTCGTTTAAGAGGGTCGGATGATTTTATAATAGGTTTGCATTGTCATTGCACTTTCTTCTGTCAATGCTTTCAACATCTCTTAATGTAAGTTGAACAATATAAGATGAATTTTCATAAATATACATGTGACATTCACTGTCTTTCTCTACCCTAAGATTGTATATAGATCGCGTAGCTTTCCACTAATAACGAAATCGTTTCTTGAATTACTTGTTTTCTTTGACCTGGTTGATTTAATTATGTGAAGTTTTCTTCGTCCTTTTAGATGACAATGGTTCATAGGCTTATGGATCCACCTCATACTATCTCCATCATATCATCCTCAGACTTCAGTCCAAGTAGATACCTGGCCTGTCGCGTGATATCATTCAACAGTGTTCACAGAGTATGTCTAATCCATCTCCATATTCTTTTCCATATTTGTTGGGTGATAGGCTCTTAGATGGTTTGTCTCCATATCCCCTTGTTGCTTATGGTTTGCCACCTGCCATTTGGTCTTCTTTATAAAATTAAGTCAGTTGCTGATGAAGGTTTGCAACAAGCTGTTGAAAATGCCTTTAGTGAGACAATCTCCAAGTCTTTGAACCATATAAAAGTACTAACTCACTTGACTTTAGTGTTGGAAATGCGGATTTTATTCCTTACGCTGAGTGGTGTAGACTTCCACACTGATATCAGAGAAATACAGGTCTGTCCTCATCTGTGCAGCACCTTACTGAAAAACTGATACCTAGGTAAGTGACAGGGGTATCATCCATTAGATCTGTCCGTCGATAGTGCCTGATGCTAGTTGTTAGGTGCCTTTATCATTTAAAGTTCTGTTTTCTTTGCTTACCACTTTTGCCGACTTATTCTTTTCCTCGCGTAGAATTTCAAGTTTATCTTATAATAGACACAGGTCATCCTCGACAGCTGTTTCATCCTAGTTTGGAAATCATTGGCAGTACGCACCCACCACCAGGGTTCGAACCCAGGACCTTCCGGTTACAAGGCAAGCTCGTAAACTATTCAGCCAACTGGGACTCGACTCTTCAGTGGCCAGTCCATGAAATCTAACTTCTACCAATGGCATCGGTGGGATATCCATCTTCATACTTGACTGAATGGACCTCATTGGCCACGAATTCTCACTAAAACTCCCGGGAACTCCGTGCTGTAGCAAGTCACTAGCGAGCATCAGATCCATGATCAACATATCTAATACTTACAAACCAACTCTTGAAAATTAATATGATGCTCGCTAGAGACTTTCTACAGGATGGAGTTTCCTGGAGTTCTAGTGAGAAGTCGTAACCAGTGAGCTCCGACCAGTCAAGTGTGAGGATAGATTTCTCACCGATGAAATTGGTTGACGGTAGCGCTAAATCATGGGCTGGCCATTAAGGAATTGGGTCCCAGTTGGCTGAATGGTATGCGAGTCAGCTTGCCTTGTGACCGGAAGGTCCTGCATTCGAATCCTGGTGGTGAACGCGTACTGCCGATGATTCCCGAACTAAGATGAAACACCAGCTGTCCAGTACTCCCTGTTGGTTTTCAATGATTCTCCAGCTGATATCAATCCGTGATCAACTCGAAAAAAAACAAATCTAATCGTTTGTCCTAAGCCTGGGAAAAGTGGAGAAGTTTCCGTGTGGAGCTAGCTGACCCCTATCCCAGAAAACAAATTCAATCCCTACAGAAACTTACAAGTATAGTAAAATGTCATACACATATGTATATATTAGATGATGTTTACAGACCTATGTGACTTCACTCATTTTGTTAATTTTTCCCTTTGGGGAAAATTATCGAAGTGAGTGAAGTTCACCGAAATTCGACAGAAATTTAGTCTCTTCTTCTATGAAACGATTTTCTCCTCTAAAATTAGCAAATCAATAACGGTAATAATAATAATAATAATTAGTCAACAATTAATATGTCGTAGGCATTACCAACTATCAGACAACTGGCGTATATGTGAGAGTGAGACAAAGAGAGGGAGAGAAAACTAAAATCAATTATTTCACAAAATCACTGAAATAAAAACAATGATCATGTTTTTATCATTGATATTTTTGTTTTTCAATTGGAAAATATGAAAGATATGCATACTAACAGAAGGAGAGAGAGAGAGAGAGTAAAATTTTATAGGAATGATAAGTATACGTGCGCACTCATGCACTCACACACACACACACAAACGTACACAGAGAGTAACACTTAAGCTAAACTCTTCGCATATTATTTCACTTTACCGGTATCAACACATAATTTACTACTCAGGATTTCTCTATCTGTTAGAATTTAACTCGTGGATTTTTTGAAAAGTAAGAGAAATAAGGCGAAAAAAGAAGAATGGAAACGATCACAAAACAGATGGTATAGATTGTTGGAAAAAGTTTTTTTAGAAAAACTGTGTGAAATATCATAATTTAACGTTTGAACAACTCAAATGGTGGTCATATGGTAATTGTAAGTTGAAAAATTATCAATCAGTTTGATATTCTATGCGTTTTATTAAAGATGAATGCAACAGTAGATTATACCACTTACTCTTTACGAAAAGTTTTATTTAAAACTCTACAACACTAACTAGCTTTCATCGATTATTCCGTTTATTTGATGATTCTATCATCAGACTGGCTCAAGGTATACCTTACATACATGGAGTTAGAGTTAGTAGGTTTGATGTCGTTAATGTTAAAAAGTATAAACCACACAGCAGGTCGAGTGTGAGGATAAATACTCGCAGAAGACACTGGTTAGGGGTCGTGCTATGTCGTGAATTGGCAGAAGTTAGAATTCATGCACTGGCCATAGGATCGGGTTCTAGTGGCTTAATGGTATACGAGCTCACCTTGTAACCAGAAGGTCCTGGGTTCGAATCCTGGTGGTGGGTGCGTACTGCTGAAGAGTCACAGAAACAGCTGTCCAGTACTCCCAGGTTTCCCAATGGTTCTCTAACTAATGTCAGCTCATGATGAAATCCTGTAACCATACACTCTAGATTAGTGTAGAGTATACAAGCCTCAATCTGTCTGTAAGATTAACTTAGTAAAATTTTGTATATCTTATCTGAACGGGTTAAAAATATTAATTTTTGTTTTCAACTGATTAAAAATGCCCATTAAAATTTTTCAAAAGAATGGATATACTGAACAAAGAGTACTCTTTTCGATAACCCCTTCATCATCAGGCTCTACAGTTACATATACATCCATAATAGTGAATGAATGAATTAGTGTTATGAACAACATTAATGTCGTTGTTTAAATAACATCGAATCTAGAAGAATTAGGAAGGATAATATTACAAATTCACGAATTTATGGTCTCTACTGTAGGCTGGCAAGGGCAGTAGTAGTGGCTGGCTGGACTTGCTTCTTTTAAACACAAAGCACTGATTGTTTGAGGCGAATCGCAATAGCCTGTGCTGTTTGGAACATGTGGTGCTTCGATGATTTTGGCAATTTATTAAGCACCCGGTAGATGATGATAGAGAAGGATTCTTCCACGCTGACTGGCTGGCTGGCTGGCTTTGTGGCCGGTCGGTTTGCAACAGATGGTCCATTATCGAACTGTTTATGATGGTTTTCACTACACCTATACTTAGCCATAGTGGGAGATGTTCTCGAGTGAGCACGAAAAATTAAGTTCCCAGAACAACGGCCTATATAACCCGGCCCACCGCAAGCGCAGTTGAATTGGTAGATACAATTTTAAGTGGCTAGTCTAAGTACTTTCATGTTTCCTTTACTTTCCCAGTAGAACTTAGCTCCTCAATCTTCAACTTTGTAATTTCGGTAGCAATGGTTTTAGTTTTATGGAGGGGGTGGGTTGGGATGAGGGGTTGATAGCCTCACTCTCAACTTTCCCTCTTTACTGAGATTACTATTAGCATAGTGAGGTGAAGGAGTGCATCGACAATGAAATGAATCCTGGACTACATGTGTGGTTGGAGAACATTATATTGTTGAACTACTGTTACATCTAAGAATATTCATGAATCAGTATTTTTGTATTTTGTAGCAGAATGGTTTTATATCATAGGTAATTGAAAAACAAATAACCAGGATAAAGGCAAATCAGAATTTATTCACCCTCATTGACTGTTTTATTCTAACATTCATGAACTTATGACTGTAGAATATGAAGAATAGGTTACTGGAAATAATAGTTCGCTTAACAGTTTTCGTGTTCCGGAAATTTTCTTTTTGCTTTCACACGTTTCTACGCACGACTATACAATAAGTTAGAAACGCTTGAGTTTATCTTAAAAAGTAATAAGCAATCTTTTATAGGACTTTGAAGAGCTTTTCAAATGGAGGCGTGTGTGTATGCGTGTTCTGTGTTCACTGGAGGTTCTGTTACCAGGCTATAGACGCACGTACTTTCTCCTTTTGCTAGCCAGGATGAATAATGCTTCTAGGTGTTTTTAAAAAGCAGATGTATGAGACGGTCAATGTACTCAGATCCACATGAGTAAGTGAACTAGTATCTGCGTGCTGATGCAGACCAATGCGATAGTTTTTCTTTCACTTGCTGGCTGAATAGCCTCTTGGAAGAAAATACTACTCATTGGCTCATCGTAAAGTATGTTTTACTTTAGAGATTTTTGAGAGTCTTTTACGATGACTGTCTGCTACAATATCATTTTTAAATTAGAGATTCAGTGATAGAATCTTTTGCGGATGAGACGTGAACCTGTTCAAAAGCTTTTTTTGATCTATATAGAGTGGATAATTTTGAGTAGGAGTACTTCTCTGTTAGATATACTTGTGCGTCGGTGTCACAGAGGTAGAATGCTCGCCAATCACGTCACATGTTGTTCGGAGTTCGACCTCTGGCCGACGCACTCCTTTACCTCGTTAAACCAGTAATAAGACTGGTAGAAAGGGGGGTTGGGCATGAGGCTAGCGACCCCATTCCATAAAAATAATCTTCATTGCTAGTGAAACTTCAAGCCTGTAGCTTGAAGCAATCCTATGTTTCACTGGGAACGTTAAGGACTAAAAAAGATGGCTATTGAAGATGATTAGTAAAAACAAAAACTGTCTAATGAATAAAAAATAAATAATGGAACATCAGAAGATGCTTCAAATTATTTGTGTACCTGACACAGTTAAGTTCAAAAGTAGAATGAGACACCTAATTCCAAATGAAGACAAGAAATTATGGGATGAAAGACTTTTCCTGGAACCCGCTGGATTCAGGAAAACGCAAGTCATGCATACAGGATATCGCAACACTAAGAGTCATCACTGAAGAATATATATAAAGGTAGTGTAGACAGGACTAGAAATGAACAAAGAGAAGATAGGGATGATGACATTAACAAACACTAATCACCATTAATGGGAAAAATTAAAAGGAAATTGTCTATTACACTTTGTTTGGCAGCACTGTCTAAACTACAGGTAACATGAGAAGGATACTAAATCCAACCGGAGTCATTACCGTGAAATAAGTGTGCGGTTATTTACAGAACTTAGAACGAGGAACAAGGTCTGAATGTTTAACGCTTACTTATAACTACAAATTACAAAGTTAAATGAACTTATGTACAACAGCTGATTATTATATATTTATCTTGTTCTCGTGCGTCTGGGGCACAGAGGTTAGCATGCTCGCCGACCATGCACATGGTCCGGGGTTCGATACCCGGCCGACGAACTCCTTTACCTCACTTAGCCAGTAATAAGACTGGTAAAGAGGAAAGGTCGGGCATGAGGCTAGCAACTCCATCCTGTAAAAATAAACACTGCTATAGAAACTTCAAGCCTCCAGCTCGAAGCCCTATGTTCCACTGGGAACGTGAAGGAAATAAAAAATCTTGTTATCACTACCTTGGGTACAGACACAGATCAAGTACTGTGTGTCCTTTCAGTATTGTTCTAGGTGAACTGCTCGAAAATTCATTATGTAAATACATGTTGAATAATTTCCTACGTTTTTTGACTATCGAAATGTATTAGGGTAAGTGATAGTAATGAAGTTTCTTATGTTATTCACATGTACGACTTCTTCTGCAAAGATCTAATGTTTAAGATCAAATTCATCTTTGTGAGACAGAATTACGAACTAAATACTTATTAGGCAGTGTAACTAGAATAGAGTTTTGAAACTCGCTGATGCACATTTTCTTCTCAAGTACCTACCTATATATTTTCAGCTCAACATTTTTAATCTTTATGTTTACTTTTCAAGTATTCGTTTTTGTAGGGATTAGGTTTGATTGGTTGGATGATTTCATCATTAGCTAACATCATTTTAGAGAACCATTGGAAAACCACCAAAGAGTACTGGACAGCCGGCCGTTTCGTCCTAGTTTTTGGAGCTCCTCAGCAGTACTCCCTCACCGCAAGGGTTCGAACCCAGGACCTCCTGGTTACAAGGCTAGCGAGTTTGTAGACCATTAAGCCACAAGAATCCGATCCAATAGCTCATGAATTCTAAATTAGGTAGAAAAAAATAGTCCCTGTCATAATTAGAAACTGTATTACTAACTGTCGCTGCTGAAGGTTGAAGATTTTCAGGCTTTTATTAGTCAGTGATATTTTTCGCAGACTCACATTTCATCTGATCATCTGATTGTGTTTCACATACGTTCACTTCTTGGTATAATAGAGATTATTGTGATTTTTTAAGTATTAGTTGTAACCAGTGGGTTCTACCAAGTCAAGTAATGAGATCAGTTACTCGCTTATGATATTGGCTGGCGGTTATACCATTGAAATTCATGGACCAATCTATTACTTTCCGTTGCTAAATAGTATGCGAGCTCGTCTTGTAACCAGAGGGTCCTGACTTCAAACCCTGGTGGATGCGTACTGTTAAAGAGTCCACACACTAGGAGAGGAACAGCTATCCTGTACTCCCCGGTGGTTTTCCGATGGTATTCTAACTGACGTCGATTCATGATGAAACCTACTGAAGACTTAACACAGCTTAATTCTTTCTATTATTTGTGTAGCTGAAAGTATTATCTACTCTGATTAGACCCCATGCATCTAGTCCTTTTACTTTGCTTGCAGACTGAATTCTGTCGGCTTAGTCTGCAATATGGCCATCATACTAAGTAGCTTGTCATTACACAGTACACCCTGAATTGTTATTAGATGGTTGGAGGCAATCAGCAGGGAGCCTCACACCTGGATTTCGTGCTTGTTAGCACTCATCAGTCAGGTGAATATTTGCAACCTTGAGCTCATACCTTTTTTGGGCTTATAACTTATGTCACCACGCAATACCGCACTCAAACACCTTACCACTGAGCTATATACGGGTTCGCTATTGACCTCCTATAGGATTCGAACAGTACTTATAATAAAGCGCTCATAATCAGAATGTTTTGTTAATGATTCGATTTTGAATAATTAAATCAGACAAAAAATTTAATAGATAATTGTGTGTAGAAACATTGAATCAAACGAAAGACTAGACTGATGACATTAGACAAAATCTAGTATCCAAAGAAAGTATCCATTACAATCTCACAGGTGGTCAGTAGCCCCCCCCCACCCTTCCAAATAGTTCACTTGATAACATCTCTGACTTCAGCACTGGATGACCTGTATTCATATCTCAGGAGGAATATACATTAATTCAAGAATGCAGAAAGAGTCTCCTGATCGACGAGTGCCAACAAGAACGAAATCTAGGATCCAAGGCTTTCTGTTGACTGTCTTCAACCATCTTACATAGTACTCAAATAACACTACATGTAGCACATTAGTATACATATGTTAGTAATCTGTGCTATAGTGGAGACACTACATAATGTTACTCAGTATTCAGCCGAAGTCATGTGATTTTAGGAATATTTCGTTTTGTTTTGATTAACACTCATTCTTTTTATTAGGTATGAAATTCCTGAAATAAATAAATAAATTTTCAATACTGAAAAGTAGTTCGCATAGCTAACCACAAAATAAAAGATTTCATCAGTGATTCTTTTTATTTTAGGAGACATTTATCGATCAGTCTGTAAACTAATTTCTATGATACTATTGTCCAATACATGATAAACATTATATGCCTTCTCCTTCTGGAATATAAAATAGAGACGTCTCGTCTATAATTGTCGTATTGGTCAAAAGTGGTCGCATAGCATTCTATCTTTAGCATTTCAAAATGTATAAACAGCAAATATGTTTTTCCCCTCTGTGTAGAATAAAAATTAACCAATGAAAGAGTTTTCCTGTCATCCCCCTTTTATAATTCTCTAACTAACTAATTTTCCCAAATGGGGCACAGGTTTATTCATCGTGTCTGTATTTCTCTAACCTCCTACCCCTGCCCCTTTCAGCCTGCAATTCTACTTTTGCATTGATGAACAGATTTTGTCGTTTCGAATGAAGCTTTCTCACTTTTTATAGTGGGGAGAGATATACAATATGTATGTATATATCTTGGTTAATACATACACGAATTAGTATGGGAAAAACGACCACAGGGTAAAAACTACTACTGAAATATTTACTTTTGTTGTGATATAACCCATGATAGATACCGGAAAGTCATGATTATTATATTCAATTCATTATTCATAATTTGATTACTTCACCTTTATGTGCAAACATTAAATCTACCTTTAAATAAACAAAACAAAAGCGGCATATTTGAATTGCTTTCTTCTTCTTCATTATTATTATTATTGTCATGAATCTGACAGCTGATTACACAATCTATAACCTTGATAATCAAAATTATACAGGTTTCTATGAAAATAACTGTTTTTATAACTGGTATTATCCATTGAATGAAGACTATTCATTGATGAATAATCCTGTATCATTATTATCGTCTTCTTCTTCTAGCAATCCATCATTGTCATCATCTACAACCACATCGCCACTGTGTTCTTCTGGTATTCGTATGCCATTTTCTATTTGTAATAATGATTCATGCTATACACAAATATACAATACAAATGAATATGATAATATAAATGAATCAAACTGTAATCCATGTGATGATAGTCATGATTTATCAGCATTGTCTACTGATGATACACCGTTTTTACCCACTTCATACCCGAAACAATCCGTTTGTATGAAACATAGAATCGATTATAACATGTTAACAAGTGCAAATAAATGTCTGCCTCATCCTTCATCAGCATCATCATCATCAACATCATCTAAGTCCTCTCGATCATCGTGTTCTACCTCTTCACCATCTTCAGAGACTGTTAGTGATGTGATCACCACTTCTACAACTTCATGTACATCACCTACTATAACTGCTAGTGATTTGAATGCTTCACAATTATCTATGCCATCATGTTGGTCACAATGTTCTACAGTTGATGAATTGACAATTTTATCAAATAATCTTGGTAGTGTATTTCATGGATTTCCATTGATTACCAATCATAATACAATGAACTATTGTAAAATTGAAGAGACGGAAAAATATGATAGAATTAACAATAGTAATTGTAACAGTAATAATAATAATAATGAGAATACCAATAATAATAATAATCACTTTTTGTCTAACCCACCTTCTCAGTTCACATCAGATCATGAATATCAAAAAGATTTATTGAAGCATGATGACAGTGCATTTCAAAGACTGCATACTGGTCTCATGGAATGTCATCCATCTTATTATCATTATTATCAACATCATCAACATCCCATGGCACATGAAAGCGAAATACCCTGTGAAACTTCATTATGCTCTGAATTTATTAAAAATCCAACAGTTATGACATCATCCTTGTCTACTATCCCTCTAAAAACCTCGAAATTTGAATATTTGAATGAAATCACCAAAGTGAATGAAGAGAACGCTATCAAAGGACATTTTAATTCACAAGCTACAACAGAGTTAACATTACCGACAGCAGACAACAATAGATCAAGTATATACCATAAGGGCTCTAATTTATCCTTACCATTTTATTCTGATGACAGTTCAGTGAAACAGGAGTCATCCAACACACCAATCTATACACCTTTATATATAACTGAAGAAGGTTGTTGTTATACAAATCTACAGACTACATTTACATCATATACCAGTATAACAACCCCTACAGAATCCCCAGCTTCATTTCAAAAATCATGGAATATGCCTAAAGTAGATGATAAATTAAAAGACAAACTATTCACAGAATTAAAAGGTTATCATCAACATTGTGAAGAGGAAGAGAAACAATTCCGCCAAGAAAATCAGATTGCATCTGAAAAGGCAGTTAACAGCTGTCAGTTAATCAAGACAGAAGTATTCCAATCATCTCAACAGAATTATCACAACAGTTTTTCAGATCAATGTCAACCGTATAGTCTACATACTGAAAAGTGCATAGATATACAATTGCAGAATTCACAACCTTTTCATTCTATTAGTAATGTAAATAATAAAACTAGGCAGTGTAAATCATTAACTGGTGGAGTTTTAACTTCCTCTGGCACAACTTTATCATTGACAAGTGGAATAAACACGGCAACAGTATCAACGAATACAAAACTTGTACAACCGTTTAAATGGTTACAGATTAAACGACAACAGCCGCGTCATCATGTGAATAATAGTAAGTGTTGTTGTTTTTAAACTTTACAAAAGGGTGTGTAGAATTTATTGAAATAATTTTAGCATATAATTGTTTGAGATGGTAAATGAATTCTTAGTAAAAGGAACTGCTGTCTTGTACATATGCTACCTGACATGATGTTTCAAACGCAAAACTGGAAAATAGCCATCATACTATATATGAGAGAAAGGAGTAACAAGCTTAATAAAGATACTCTTCTCGGTGATGTCATCCTAAAATGCTTTACAATCGAATTATTTTTTATATATAAGCTTATTATATTGATTATTATTATTGTTTTCCTTTGCGTTCCCAGTGGAACATAGGGTTTCAGCAACACATCTCCACTTTGTCCTATCTTCTGCCGTCATCTTCAGTTGGGTCCACGATTGACCAAACACTCTCATCTCTTCTTCACACGTTCTCCTCCATGTCACCCTAGGACGACCAACTTGTCGCTCTCCTTTTGAATTCCACGCGAGCACTGGCTTGATGCAGGATGTCAGTCGGTGACCTCCTCAATGTATGGCCGATCCGTCTCTATGTCCTCCTTTACATTTTTTAAACAATCGCCTCTTGGTTGGTGTGTTCACAGCCAGAGTGTCATGTCATTAATTCTTTCTCACTGGCCATTTCATCCTCAGTATGAAACCAGCCAGGGAAGTGGGCAGCTATTGATGAAAGTTGGCATTAGCCTGTTGGAAATCCTTTTCGTGACCCGTATACAAGCACTGACCGACTTGACATTGATGCTGAAAATTCGAATCTTGTTCTTTAGGCTGGCTGAGACAGTTCAGAAGATTCCCAAACTGGTTTCAGGTAGATGAAGGTGTGCATATTTTGGTTTTCCGACTATGGCTCGCTGTCTCTGACATCTTCATCCTTTCAGCTGGCCTATAGTTGAAACGATGCTTTCTCCCCAGATAAAAGAAGGAGATAACCTCAGTTAAATCTCTCCCGTTGACGGTGATTTGCGCTGATTGTTGTTATTATTGTTGCGGTTTGTTCGTTATCTTCATCTCTCCGTTTCCACCTTCTCTGTATCTTCGCTGTTAGCCAGCCTCCTCAGCCAGTTTGCTGATTTTAGCCTGCCTGTAAATCTTCGAGTTTGTGTGACATTAGACATAGATCATCATCTCCAGATCTTGTGGAGTCTTCTTCTTATCGGTCGTCCAGAGTATTCCTGATTCCTTGACCTTCCTACAGTGCGACGCATAAACACAGTCCACCACAATTAAAAATATCATCGGTGATAATAGGCAAGGAGCCTTGTTTTACTCCTGTGTGGACTTCAAACGCCTCGTTGAGTTTTCCTTTGGGGATCACTTGACACACGGCTTACATAGTTAGAGTTATAATTCAATCCAAGATAGTGACGTGAAGGTTGTAATAGCATTTTAGCTTGATATGAAAGTTTGAAATCGTGAACATCGATCACAAGAGACATAGGGGAATAAATTTACATAGGATTATAAATTACTTGCATAGTATGTAAAACAGTTTTTTCTGAGGAAGTCAGGTATGAACAGGATATGCATAGAAACAAAGTGAAGTCATAGGTATTTTTACAAGTGACGATGTAAAAAGTATGAAGGGGATAAAGAAAAAACAAAGAAGCGAAAACTAAGGAAGTTAGATAGTGTAGTGGACTAAACTGGCTAAGCTCGTTTTGACGGGAGGGGAAATAACAAAATAAATACAAACTTGCATTAAAGTATATATATATAGAGAGAAAGATCTATGTAAATTAATATATGTTTATATGCAGGTAGAAAGGAATTCAGTCCAAACAGTTATTTAGTGAGTTATAATTATCCCAATATACAAATATAAAGACTTACGGGGTTGAAACAATGAAGCAGTCCTTTTAATCTGCACTTGCTCACTCCACGCAATAGTATGCCAACAGCGCGAGAAGTACTTGTGAAGAGAAAAAAAGAAGAGGTTGAAGGAAAAGATCCAAAACTTGGATATACTGATGAGGCACCGGCCAGCAATAATTGGCAATAATGAGAAGTAAAAAGCTGCAGAAGGGAAGTTGTGTTATCCATCTGTAGTGCGTGGTGAACAAGATGGAGTCCTCATTCAATATATCAATTAACACCCATGTTGTAAAGTGAATTCAGTGTTTTTACTATTTTACAATGAACGTATAATTTGATATTTTTCGTCCTTCACAACAGAACTAGATCTATGGTAAATCTAGCGGCTGAACTAGTCTTGGCTTCTCGATGAATATGGCAGCAAAAAGAAATTGGAAACCGATTTCATTTCGTAGATTTTTGTTCACTTTGTAAATGACTCAGAGTAGTGAGTTAGCTGCGAAGTTTTAACAGCTACTGATGAGGTTTTCACTTTCACCGCTTCTGATTGGGCGATAGCTGCATCTTTGCAGCCATTCTGCCTAGTGTTCTCTTAGACGTTTGGAAGGGGTTAAGCACAGAGCAACTTATGATCCTAACACCACAGAAACAAATGAGTTTATATATATATATATATATATATATATGCGAATTGGAGTGGTCACATGCTTAGAAGCGGTGGATGGCTAGAGAATATCACTCTTAGAGTCGCTGCAAAAAGCCCTTTTAATCGGGAATTAGAGAATTCCTTCTCTAGGACATTTACTGCAGGTCTCTTCTGAATTCCAAGTTCATAAACAGTATTATTTTAGTGACAGTGAACCGCATTCTTCTCTTTTTGGCTTTGGTTTCATTTTCTTCTTCATAAACCGCACCTTGTATCCATTTTCAACCAGGATTCTTTTGCGATATAAGAACTCTTCTTTTGCTAACAGTCAAAGATGAAGATTTTTTTTTGATAGAGTTGCTCGTTATTTTCTCTCTTGTTGATATGACACCGCAGTGCTACAGTATCAATAACCAGGTGACATTTCGAGCACAGTTTGTTGCACCTGATCGTATCAATGTAATTCACATGAATTTAACCTACTTTATATAGTTTAACTCACCCCTGTGTTAACAAGTCATGTGAATATATATATATATATATATTGGTATAAATATTGAGCAATAAATTGTGTTCAAACAGGTATCGAGTTATTAATACCAAATCACAGTGTGGTATATCTGCTAATTTTATCTAATACGAAATTATGTTCTGCCACAATGCCAAAGTTTCTACAGTTACATTAAAGCTGTTTTTTTTAAACTGTATTCTGCTGCCTCGTCATAATGTGAATGGTTTTACCGAGGGTTTCATAAGAGTGATCATATTTTTAGACAGAATTTAGTCAGTGGATAGATCAAATTGGATATTTTTTTTGAAGCATACCAAATCAAAAATTAAACTTTCATCTGTCATTCTGTTGTAATTAAAATAGTTGATTATGTAGATAACTGATCATGTTCAAACCCATAGAAACAAAAATATTATGATAATGAATTATACAGCAGCCGAGTATGAGCTGCTTCTCAGTGTTACTGGAGAGGAGAAATCAGGACACAAGTTAATCAGCTAATGTGTACTTTCAATGGAACCGTCAGTAGATAATATTGATGGGGGACTACATCTCATGAAACAGACAAATACCGTCTAATATACTGACCATGAAAAAAAAACCCAGTAAATCCAGATAACTTTAGTATAAGATAAAGTAATTTGGTGAATGGTATAGATTGCAGTGGAATCCAAGGTGCGAATTTCGTCCTATTCAGAACTCATCAGCTATGGTATGTATCTGCATTCCCTTGTAAGTGATTATATTCCCATTGAGACCAGATGCCTCCGTATTAGGTGCCAACATGTTAAAAGAGGCTGAACACCTTGGTCTAGTCAGTCTGTAAGGAAAATAAAAGTGACGCAAAAACAATCAATTTAAGATATATTTTTATAAGAAAAATTATTAGACTGTCAAATAGCTCTGGCATGTAAATATTACTGCCAACGTGAAATAATAGCGCTGAATACTTAAAAAGAGGTAGCCTTTAATACTGAGCAGTTGTTTCGCTCGTTATAGGTGTTAGTCTTATCAACAGTTCACAATATGAATCATCCTAGAAAACCAAGTGCTTCATGGCTGATTATCTGAACGAAGACCATATGTATCATTGATATAAGAATAAAACTTGTACACTGTGGTAGATTATAATTCTGTTATCGGGAAAATTTACTTTCATAAAGTCTTACAGTGTTATACAGTAATATTTACTGATGACCATGTTTTGAGCACAGTTTATTCCTGCTCATAATCCTATCCATATTACAATGATCATATTGCGCAAGGAAAGACTGAAAACTGCTTCTTTCTAAACACACACACATAAATCGGGTTTCAAGCGTTTGATAGAAATTGCTGCAGCAAACTTGAGGAGAATCGGCCTCTTTTGTCTACTGATAATTTTAAAGGGTTTCGCGATTTCCACCTCATGACGCGTATCGAGGAGATGCCTAGTAATAACACTATTATAAAGGTTTGTTTCCTTGAGACCCACATAGGCTTTTTTGTAAATGTTCCGAAAATCAGAGGTGTGCCCTTCCTCTTTCTGTTCTCCCAAAGTAACTGCTGACACAGATACACGTAAATTTGTATACACAGTTGGAGTTAACATGAAAAGGGTATCTGTCAACTTTGAATGTACCAAAGAGCATATTGTCCGATAGACGGGAACCAACTTAGCTGCAGAATAGGCTCTGTCTGGCTAGTGATGTGTTCAGTTTTCTGCTGACCACTGGTGTAATATTTTCACCTTTAGAATCTAACTGAATGAAGAGTAATTTTCTAAGCACTGTTTATCAATTCCGGGGCCTTCGGTCAACTGACATCAGTTCACAATATATATATATATATGCGTCGGTGGCACAGTGGTTAGGACTCTCGCCGACTATGCACGTGGTCCGGGGTTCGAGCCCACGCCGACGCGCACCTGATATCTATGGTCGGCCTGCGAAATTTGGGCTACCGATATCCACGCTGGAAATTCCATACTTGTACCAAAAATACGGTGTGGAATCAAGCTGTAATCAAAAATAAAAATAAA